ATTTTCATTATCTTAAAAGTCTAACATCAGAATATTATAGAAAACCTTCTTAATTGATAACTAAAATAGTTAGTTACCTCGAACGTCTGCAATAAGCCATATACATCCCTCGGGCCTGCGGCCCTCGGGATGTATATGGCTTATTACCTCCGTTCTCGGTAACTAACTCTTACATAACAGGATTTCTCGTTCAATTTGGGATAATTTGCACTCGTGAGTTTTTCAAAGAGCTGAAATTGCACTCTACCTACGGTCTTCGAAAAACACACTCGTGTGCAGTTAATCCCAAATTGAGCTCGAAATAAACCGTGTTATTACCTATGCAAATACTTCAAGTTGTCATTCAACCCATTCAAAGCCATGTTTACATTTCGATTATTGGCATCTTGTCAGTTAATTCGCACTTAYTTTAGAGTTTTGTCTGTTCTTACCATTTAAGTTCTTCTTGAATACATGTGAATGAGTTGTAGTCCGGAGTTATTTTGTTCGTCTAGGAAATCCCCTTGCAATCGTTCACTTGTAGTCAGTTGTTCAGTCTTAAGATTGCACATAAAAATCTCAGTGAGATCTGAAGGCCGCTTTTTTGTTAAAATTGCCATAGTTACGTTCTAAGTTTTTTATTTATCTGTACCGTCCAAAACCTCCATTCCTTTTTTTGATAGTCTTGTAGTTTCTACTATTTTACCCTCCAGAAGCAAAAATATTGCCAAAAATTGTTATTTTGTACCGAAACGCCTACTTCGGAATATCAGACTTTAGTAAAAGTTTAGTGTCATAAGTTTCGTGTTTTATCAGAGGTTCCAAAACACGGAAAACTAAACGAATATTGCTTTGCTTACCGTTTAGATCAGCTTGCAAACAAAGATCAAAGAAAAGGAATTCCTTGTACTCCATCGTCGTAATGTCTCCATCTCAGAAGTCACAAGAATCTGAATATGTTGAGCCTGGTTTTCTTCATCGTCTATTTCTTACTTGGTGGCTTGGTCTTCTCAAGTTGGTGGCTCAAAGACCGCTCAACCAAGAAGATCTTTATTCACTGCCAGATGAATATAAGGCAGAAAACCTGGTTCCACGACTTGAAGAAACTTGGTCACAAGAACTAAACGACGCAAACAGAGAGGGTAGACTGCCCAAACTATGGAAAGCTCTTCTTCGTGCCTTGCCAATAAAAAACTATTTAAAATCGGCGACCTTGGCACTGGCAAACGTGTTCGCGTCGTATGCGTCAATATTCTTTCTTTGGCTGTTTTTTGAATATCGGCAAGGCGAATCGCATATGGAGAAGTGGCATCTTCCTGTTATTGTATTAGGTATTGGTATTTGCAGCTATCTCAGGGCGTTTACCTTCCGTCATAGTATATATGTTACCTTAAACATTGGCATGCAGCTAAAGGTAGCTGTTATGGGGATCGTTTATAAAACGGTAAGCAAAGAATGAAAAAAAAAAAAAAAGAAGGAAAATGCTAAAACTTAATATACCAATCCCAGCTTCAAGTTGAGTGACCATCAAAAAATGCAGAACTTCCCAATGAAATATAGAATATTTGACAGACAAGCTCGAATTGAGACGGATTATTTAGTGTATATTGAGTATTTGCTATACCATTAGAATGTATTTATTCTTATACAGACATTAACAATTTTCAGCAATGTCAGCAATCGGTGTTTGTTCCATTATATATCAAAAACGCATTTTTTAATAGCCGGACCGACGCAGTATTAACAGTAACTAGGAACGTGGAACAATGAATTTGGGATTGGTGTATTCTGCCCAGCCCATTCTAAGTTGCTTGTTTCTTTTGAAGAATTTCAGAAAATCTATTTTTATTCCAAGTCCTGCATAAAAAATCGTCAGGATATCAATAAAATTTGATGGTTTTGATGTCAAAAGAGTACAGCATGCAAAAATCTACTCACCCCCCCCCTCCCCCACCCCCATGCAAATAAACAACCTTGTCAAAATGAACATTTTGAACTATATATTAGTAGGGTGGCCGAGTCATTCAAACAGTTTTTAAATCAACTTTTCTTCTAAGCGTAGTTTGAAAGAAAACAAATTTTGTACGATATTTTACACTCCTTTAAAACGGAAAGTGGAAAAGATGTAGCTTTTAATTTCCCTTACCCTTGCACCACATCGTCAAAAAATAATTTGCGTAATAAAAAAAAGTCGTAAAAGAGTAGATAATGAACTTTGAAAGTGAACCCGTTGCATTCAGAAGCCACACGTGGATATACCGTCAAAAAAGTGCTGTTTTTGCCGTCAATCAAATGCTATGAGCCAATCACGCGCGGCAATTCCTAGCCGATAAAACGGGYTTATATTGGCGATCCGTCTCCCGATTAAGGTATCGAATATCAGGGTACCCCTAGCGACCATTGTGCATTCAACTCTTAATAGCACAAAACCTTTTAATCGAAACCTCAACAAAGTATACATTTTCTGAAAGCTGCTTTTTGTAAAATAAATTTATCCTTTTAAGCTGGAGCAAATTATTTAAATATTCACCGTGTCACCTTCGCGGAGTTTGATGACAGCCGGTAATGATCGGAAACCACTTGCTTATTACCTTTCCGAGATCACAAGACATCACTTGTCAAAAGTTAGTGTGTCTCCGATTTTTGATTAGTTGCCCCGTTGCTTTTTTATACGCTCTTAAAGTTATGGCGCTGCTATATCACCGGTATGCAAGCCAAAATCCACGATAACTTTGGAAATAAGCAAAAAATAAAAAATCGGAGACATACTTTTGAAGAAGAACTATCCAAGATGACTTTATCAAAATTTCAGTTAAATCAGTCAAATTCCCTTTGACATCGGAGTCAAAATGTACGGTTAACTGAACGCAAAATCACTTCCGAGAAAAACGCAAAAATGTTTCTCAGTGAGCGGAAGCGCCTTTGTTGACACAAACCGTATTTTTTTTATTACTCGCTATTAAATAACTATCAAATTTTTTTGGGTGAAAAATCGAAGATTATTACATATTTTATCGCAAAATGTGAAAATGTAAAAATCGATACTATTGAGCAATTTTGGGGTACCCTGATACCTTAAACATATATAGGAGATACGCGATACATAAATATATGTAACTGTAATTTATATTTCCAGATACTTTCAATGACAGACAGTGGTATAAAAAGAGCTACCTCAGGGACGATCATGAACCTAATATCGAATGATGCACAACGGATGGAAGAGCTAATATCGAAATGTTTCTTGTGTGCCAGTGGCTTKTTGTCAATTCTAACTGGATTTCTTCTATTGTGGGCACTAGTTGGTTGGCAGTCTTTATCAGGAACATTGGTTTTAGTTCTATTTGTACTCGTTCAAACTGGTTTACTAAATGCTTATGGAAAATTACGCTACAAGCAAAAACAAGCAACTGACCATCGTCTAGTAGCAGTCAAGGACGTCATCTCAGGAATACGAGCTGTCAAGATGCATGCATTGGAATGGAAGTTCAGCGATAGAATCATGTCTATAAGAAGGTAAAAATGGAATTGTTGTTGATAGCAGTGACTTTTGAAGAGCTGGGTGGAAACCAAATGAGTCCTCAGTTTATTCATTGTATCTTAACAAGTGAATATGAACTCATGAGCACTCTTCAGTGATGCTTGAATGCATGAATACCAGAGTTCCTTCTCTTAGTTCATTTTCTCTTGATGTTAATAGATCGATAAAATGTAAAACAAAAGAAATTCGGTTTATAAATATAAGCCCAAACCCCGTGTCTGCTAAGGCAAATACCTTTCCAGAAGTCCATGACTAGAAGTCGGGTCCATCTTTCGTTATTCAAAACGACCTGTGTGTTTCTGGAGTGAGCTATTTTTAGCTATGCCAAATATGGACATCTTAACCGGAAGCGCGAGCAAGCAAAATATTGTGAACTCTTCCTGGGGTGAGATTTCGCACAGCAGAATAAGATTATAAAATATATACTATATGATGTATGGCAAAATAATGAGACATGACAAGGATGCGGAGCTAGAGAAATAAAACTAAAATGAATGTCCATGAGACGCATGCTAAACGAGAACTTCATTGAATTGCTTCCTGTACGTGCCAAAAGTCATGCACATTTGAGTCGACCAGATCCCAAGTTTCTAGTTTTTTTTTGTTTTTGCTTTGGAAGAAGAGTTTAAAGTATTTATACCACTTTGGCTGAAGCTGGAGCCTTTGGTCCGTCCCAAACTCAAAGCAAATACTACATCGAAACAAAACTGCTGTGCTTAAAAAAGAAGAAGAAGAAGAAGAAGAAGAAAAAGAAGGAAAAAAACCCACTCGTCAATCGTTAAAACTTCGGTTTTGAGACTTCAAGAATCACAACCAAGATGAAAAATGCAACTCTAATAAATAAAATCTAGAAAATACTTTAAATTACTCTGATACTCTACAGGAACGAACGAGAAGCTAGACGTTAGGTTTGCATTTCCACGAGTTTTGCAGTTTTGTATCACGCGCTAAATTTACAGAACCGGATATTATATTCTTGTTCGAGGGGGCATGGTAATTAAATAGATTCTAGCGCATGCTCAAAAAAGAAGCGACAAGTGTTTCGGCAGTCTCCTTCCCTTCTTATCCGTTGAGGAGGTAAAAGACTAGAGAGGTAATAGACTGCGCTCGCAGGGTATGTCGTGGTGGACTATTTCAAATCTCTGAAATGACTTTATTTAATTTGAAAAACCTAATCTTTGAAAAGTTTTTTTTTCATACTGTAAAACAATTCCATGCAGAAATATTTTGATAACGAAGATAACAAGCACAATTAATTTTGTTTTGCTTTTACCGGCTATAAAACATTTCAGACGCCACCATAATACAAGATGGACAATTCTAGTAATTATGGAATTCTACTTTCCAGTTTTAAGGTCCCACAACCACCTTTCCACCCCCCCCCCACCNTACTCCATCGTCGTAATGTCTCCATCTCAGAAGTCACAAGAATCTGAATATGTTGAGCCTGGTTTTCTTCATCGTCTATTTCTTACTTGGTGGCTTGGTCTTCTCAAGTTAGTGGCTCAAAGACCTCTAACCCCTGAAGATCTTTATCCACTGCCAGATGAATATAAGGCAGAAAACCTGGTTCAACGACTTGAAAAAACTTGGTCACAAGAACTAAACGACGCAAACACAGATGGCAGACGGCCCAAACTATGGAAAGCTATTCTTCGTGTCTTGCCAATGAAACACTATTTAAAAACGGCGACCTTGGGACTGGCAGAAGTGTTCGCGTTGTATGCGCTAATATTCTTTCTTTGGCTGTTTTTTGAATATCTGCAAGGCGAATCGCATATGGAGAAGTGGCATCCTCCTGTTATTGTATTAGGTATTGGTCTTTGCAGCTATCTCAGGGCGTTTACCTTCCGTCATAGTATATATGTTACCTTAAACATTGGCATGCAGCTAAAGGTAGCTGTAATTGGGATCGTCTACAAACCGGTAAGCAAAAAAAAAAAAAAAAAAAAAAAAAAAAAAAAAAAAAAAAAAAAAAAAAAAAAAAAAAAAGAATGAATAAAATCTAAATTGATATTGACCATTCATCCAGCTATAAAGCAATACACCAGTCCCAAATTCAAGTTGAGTGACCATCGAATAATGCAGAGTTTTTTCCCAATGAAATATAGAATGTCCGATAATCAAACTTAAATTTAGAAACGATTTTTCAGCTGGTATTGTTTTTTATTTTCTTCTGTACTTTAGAATGTATTTATTCTCGTACAACCATGATAAATTTTCAGAAATCGGTGTTTGTTCTACGTTATATATCAAAAATGCAGTAACTATGGAGTAGAACGATTCATGTGGGATCGGTGTATTCAACCCGTTATAGTCTAAGTTGCTTGCTTCAACAATTTCAATTGTTTCGCAAGTCATAAAAACAGGTCACCAGAGTATCAATACAATAATTTTTTGATGTTTTTGGTGTACCGCATGCAAATGATCAGTGGTTTTTCTTCTTTTTATCCTTTTTTACTGCATACTGTGCGCGTTTCGTCGGTAACCGAATTATTTATTGTTTATAAAAGAAAACATTGTTTCATGTTGGCAAAAGCAAATTGTCTGATGAAAGAACGCCTCTTCTCCTGGTGCATTGAGAAAGGAACATCTTCAGTTCTTCTTGTTTAAAGGGTTTCTAAGTAAATATATGCAAATGTAATTTATGTTTCCAGATTCTTTTAATGACAGACAGTGGTATACAAAGAGCTACCTCAGGGGCGATCATGAACCTAATATCCAACGATGCACAACGAATGGAAGAGCTAATATATACATTTTTATTGACTGTCAGTGGCTTTTTGTCAATTCTAACTGGATTTCTTCTATTGTGGGCACTAGTTGGTTGGCAGTCTTTATCAGGAACATTGGTTTTAGTTCTATTTTTAATCATTCAAACTGGTTTACTAAATGCTTATGGAAAATTACGCTACAAGCAAAAACAAGCAACTGACCATCGTCTAGCAGCAGTCAAGGACGTCATTTCAGGAATACGAGCTGTCAAGATGCATGCATTGGAATGGAAATTCAGCGATAGAATCATGTCTTTGAGAAGGTAAAAATGGAATTGTTGTAGAGCGCAGTTACTTTTGAAGAGGCTGAGTGGAAACCAAATGAGTCCTCAGTTTATTCATTGTATCTTAATAGATCGATAAAATGTATCATAAAATCCTCTCTCCCCTTTCCCCGTCCCTGTCCCCCTCCGGAAAAACGTTTTGCACTTCGTTCTGGACTGTACTTCCTCCCGTTCATAAGATCGCCCGGGATTTTACGGTATAGAAAATTATATATCTTCTAATGAATTTGCTTTACCCGGACCACTACTGACATAGGCCTCTAACTTTTGTTATAGAAACGAAGTTATTCAGCTTCGTCTCCTTGGTGCATTCTCCGCCCTCCCGGGTTCACAGATCTTGACACTGCCGCTGCTGGCAACGCTTGTATCTATTGCAACGTTAATCTACTCCAGTGTTCTTACCAATGTGGTCAATGTCTTCACTGTAGTTTTAATGTATAGTGTAATAGGAATGGATGTTGCCTTCTCGTGTAACTATAATTTAATAGAACTGGCACATAGTTTTACATCTATAAAGAGAATACAAGAATTTCTCATGATCTCGAGAGATTCGTGGAACCACCAGACTATCAAACATCAGAAAACCATATCGCTGAAGGCGGGCCTCATAAATCGTCTCAATGACATTTTCTGTGAGAGGATAGTTCTAAAACAGTCCAATACATGCACAGCGTATTCTTTGTTAAACAATGATGTTAGTTACAATAGCAAGGAAGATGTGCCAAATGATGTCACTGAAGGTATTGCACCAAATGTCACAGTTAAGAAGATGTCAGCAGGCTGGTTTGAAGATTACGAACAGTGTACCTTGCACGATATTTCCTTTAGTACAGAAACAAACCAGTTGCTAATGGTTACAGGACCTGTGGGGAGTGGCAAGTCCACGTTATTAATGGCTATCTTAAGAGAGATTCCTATCAAGTCGGGAAATATCTCTACTCACGGAAAAATCGCTTATGTCAGTCAATATCCCTGGATATTTACTGGCACAGTACGCGATAATATACTCTTTGGACAAAAGTTTGATAAACACAGATATCAAAGAGCCATAGATGTKTGTGACCTTAATGAAGATATCGGCCGTTTTCCCAACGGAGACATGAGTTTGACTGGGCAGCGAGGCGTCACTTTGAGTGGTGGCCAACGTGTACGTGTTAGTTTAGCAAGAGCAGTCTACTCTAATGCTGATGTTTATTTGCTTGATGATCCACTGAGCGCTTTAGATGTCAAGGTCGGTAAATACATCCTGGATGAATGTATCTGTAATCATCTGTCAAGTCGGATACGAATTCTAGTGACGCATCAACTTCAACATCTCYACCGAGCTAACAAGATCTTGTTGATGAAAGAAGGTCGTTTAATGGCTCAGGGTTCGCATAAACAGCTTATCAGTGAGGGTTTGATTGGAGATGATGTGGAATATGATACAAAATCAGAAAACTTGAAAGAAAATGCAGAGGATGAGGTAAACGTGAAGTGCAAGACAATCCTAGAAAACTCTTGTAGCGATATTGAAGAGGAAGATGAAGATAGACAACTGGGAACAGTAACGTGGCAGGTTTATTGGAAGTATCTGAGGTCAGGACTACATCCTGTGCTGTTAACGTGCTTTGCATTGTTTTATCTGGCAGTCCAAGGTAAATAATTTATTCTGTTTTAATTTTTTTTTTGCAAAAATTTTATATAGAAATATATATCATAAGTTTTCTAGCTGCAAAATGTACTACAATTTGCAATCTACCGTGAAGCGTGACGCGCCAAACTTGTTTTTATAAGTTATATCCCAGACGTTTGGCACAAATAACTGTCAAGTTTGACATGCGAAACTTTTACGCTGCCGCCGACAAACTTTTAGTTGCATTTTAGTGTTGAACGCTCTTCAAGGTTAAAATTGTTTTCTAAGCGAAAACAAATATTTCATCATAATCACGTGTTATGACGCTCGATCTCATTAAAAACTGCATCAAACATTAATTCAATCTTTATGTGACTTATGTGCAAAAAAGATTTGCAATCGGATAAAACATTGTTTATGCACTAGCGTTCTAAAAGTGGAAGGTAGCGGTAAAGCGTGAGGGGGTCCAGCCACCTTAATTAGGGTCAGTGTTGCTGTTCTCTTGGAGGGATAATGTTCTGTCCCCAAGTCTTAAACTCTTGTTAAAAAATAGAATATTTATAAAAATTTCTTATGGCCAAAGTTTTCATCGTTGTAATGTGTTAACTGATCTTAGATTTTATCAATTTGATTCAAATTATACCACATTCTTTTCTTAAGTGGCTGTCTTTTGGAATGATCCGAATTGTTCTCCCGGAATTTCAATTCAATTTAAAGAAAAAAGACGTGGTAAGCCGTGGTTGACATACTTGTGATTATTAAATCTTATCATGACTTAATTATATTTTGTTTTTTTTTTCTAGCAAGCATACTGGCTCCGCAGTTGTGGCTTTCCCGAATTGTCAAACTACCAAAACATCAACAGAAGGGCTTTGAAGCTCTTGGAATGCTCGCTATACTTGTTACTGTTGCTTTTGTCTTGTGTTATTTAAGAGAGCTGTGGTTCTACAACATCTTAGTCAATGCTTCCAAGAACCTTCATGACAAGATGACKCTKRCAGYWTTGAAGGCTCCKGTCTTGTTCTTYGATACAAACCCTCTAGGACGAATAATCAATCGTTTCTCGAAAGACATTGGTTACATGGATAATTTGATGCCTGGAAACCTTTTATTTGCAACCGCGCTGTGCACAACTGCGGTCGGTGTCGTGGTGCTATCGTTGATCACTAACATTTGGATTATTTTTGCTGTTGTTCCATTGTGTTGTTTATTATTCTGCATCTGCTATTATTACCTGAGAGTAATTCGTGACTTGAAGAGAATGGAATCAATACAGTGCAGCCCAATCTACGCCCATGCTGCTGAAACTATCGCAGGGCTAGCAGTCGTTCGAACATCACACATGCAAGAGAACTTTCTGGAAATAATGTTCAGGTAATTAATTCCTATTAACATTTAGCGTTATAAGGATTTGAGTAAACTTCGAAAAACTGAGGTAGCTTGGGAGTGAAAGGCACAAAGCCACTTCGCAACACCTCATCATAAAGTATAAAATAGTCGGAACACATGAATAGTTACATGATCGGTAAAGCCAACGGTACCATTGTTTTGGTTCACCATCATTTTTGCAAGCTGCACCATAGCTAATGGAGCGGAATGGTTTGGAAACTCCATAGAACAAAGCTATCGTTTTGCGTTTGATGTTGAACAAAAATATAGGACAATAGATTTCGCAACCATTGCGCTTCATTAACTATGGCTGCTAATTTTGTTTTGCGCTGCCGTCAATCAAACCTAATCATTCGGTACCCTCCATATTTTTTGACTGGCGGTAGCGAAAAAATAAAAATTTCAGCGTGCAGTTTCCAGACCAGAAGTCGCATGTTTATGTAAATTGAGTAATGTAAAACTTATTAAGCTCATATGTAAGCGATTACTTTTTCGCGGTGAAGAAGCCAGTCGTTTCTTTCGTTGACGTTCAGCAGTTCTAGGTTCTTCCGATCTTGCAGTATTTTTATATTTCATAATATTGCATGTCTACTTAACTTGAATTTGAAATGCATTAAGCTGTGGACAGAAGAGATGGCAGTACCATTACATTAAGGTGATCGGAACGTCAGTCAATGTGAATATGGCCGGCTTGCTTCAAACACTTCAAATGCCGAAAAGTGACTGGCAAAATAACTATGTTCAGTGAGTTGTAATATTCTAAAGTTTCCAATTCATTCCTGGTGGAGAGATTTTGAGTTGTTTTTTTTTTTTTTTTT